CATCCTTAACAAATAAGCTTAATCCTCTTCAACGAAAGCTACATCCATGATTCAATATATAAATAAATTAGGCTTAATATGTTTTATTCCATTAAATTTAAGATAAATTTGTTTTTAGTTCTTTAAATTTAAAATTTATTTTTCTAGTCATATAATTTCAAAAGAAATATGTTTTAGTCCTTTGAGCCACTAATAACATAACTGGTAGTAATGGATTGAGATAGTTATGTTATATCAACTAGATTTAATATAATATTTTTACTAATAAAGATACTAGTATGTAGATTTTGTCTGACAATATTTGATTGATTCATTAACGACATTTGAGCAGAGAGACTAACATAAGATATTTTCAAATTATAAGACTAATAAAAATTAATTTTAAATTTGAAAGACCAAAAATAAATTTACCTCATACTTGAAGGATTAAAAACATATTTAAGCCAAAAAATTATCACATGGGTTCTTCAACACTCATTTCCCCATAGTTGCATCCGCTGAAACTAGCAAAACAAGAAATTTAAAAGGACTAAATTTAGGAACAGTTCTTTAGGTGCAAGTGTTGTCCTCTAATCAAGATTAGAGTTTCAACTTTTTATTAAACACCAATTTCAATTGTGCAAGTTATCCATTCCAATTTTAATTTTAATAGAAAAAAAACAACACTAGAAGCATCTAAAGAATTGCATCCAAGTACTGTCCAATTTTAAAATCATACAAAAGGCAAATTTCTATCATTTCTTCAAGCCGCAGTGCAGTAATTATACAATTCCCCGTCAACCCAACCCGATCATTAGATTTTACAACGCTGTTCCTGATCCTATAGTTTTCCAGCAGGACCAAAGAATCAATAATCTCAAAGTGTTGAAGAGTGTGTGTGAAGAAAGAGATTGCATTACCTCCATCAAGAGCAGAAGCCGCAGTGCAATGCCGCGAAAGATTCGCTGATAGCTCACAGTATTGACGCTCGTACCCTTCAAATACCTCACTCATTGTTCCTAATTTCTCTGCCCTACCTTCTCAATTCCAATCAATCAGATCCAATACAAAAATTGTAAACAACGACCTCAATTACTCACACGTTAATTTCAAACACACACATTTATAAACTTTTGTATATTCTATTCCACAATTCCTATGTATATTTATGTTTTCAAAATTTTGCAGATAAATCGAATCTCAGAAAATAACTAGCAATTTGACGAAATAGATAATTAGGGAGATGAATGGACATGAAAAGGAGATAGAGGCTGTCGGAAAAGCTTACCGGAGAATGATCGGTGGTTCGCCGGAGATTGATCGGAGGAGAGGTGGCGGAGAAAGCAACGAAGCTAGCCCAAATATTTCAACGAATCAATCGAAGAAGAAGAAAGGAGAACCATAGTTAGTTGGGTTTCACCCAACTTGTGAGTATTTACGCAATTGCCATGGAATTATTGGATTGACATTTCTGTCCTCAACCCGAAGTGTTTAATTACAAAAGTACCCTCTCGTTGGATTAGAGCACGGAAAAACGTACTTGTTGGGAGAGGGTTCATGAATCATGACTTAATTCACACTATACTCCTCTTATATTCATATTAGATTCATTTGTCAAATATTTTTCTTAATTTTGTAGAACATGTATAGAGGACAATCCAGTTCAGTTGAAAAAACTTCATTAAACTTTAAAATATTATATATGTGTTGGGGTAGTAAGGGTGTCACAACCTTTCCCTTTCATTGCCATCGTCATTGAGAAGCTCCTAGTTCCCTGCTCTATTTAATAAGAATGGTGATGCAATGATCTGAAACTCAACAATTTCCCCCAATGAAGTAGTGATGGAGATCGACGGTGAAAGGCAGCGCGAGGTCCAAAAGGAAGCTTCTCAAAATGATAAATCCAATCGATTAACCTACAACCTGCATAGATTAAACCCACCAAAAATCAAGGCCCTCGTCGATCGGAGATGGCTCTTGATTTTTCTTAATCAGTTTCAAGAGATTTCAAAGATTTTGGTCCGGTTGTGGCCAACCGATGCTCAGGCCTAGTTCTAACAAATAAGAGTAAAAAAATTTAACTAATTAAGTCATTTTCGTGAATCGTGTATGAAGTACATGTCTAATAATTTTACATTTTATATTATTTCTTTTTCTTTCTTTTTTATCTTAAAATGAACAACCTCACAATATTATTTTTGCAATTTTCTTTTATTTTCTTTCAAAGACATAAAAAAGTTACCCTATTTTTATCTATTTCTTTTTTATTTATATTAATTATTTTTATTTTCAATCTACTATATTTCTTTCTTTGTTGCCAAAAAATGGCATAATTGATCATATACACATAGTTAGAATATGAAATATATGTCAGTGTCAAAATATTTATTTGAATATAAAAAGAGAAATAAAAAATAACAATTTTTTGTGCTAAAAGACTCATTCCCATGAGTTAGAAAATATTGCTCTTATGGTGTGTTTGATTGAAATTAAACATTGTTTAGAATTTCATCTTATTAAAATAGAAGCTCCTTTCAATTTTATCAAGTCATCTATATAGGATAGTGAATAATTATTCTTAATGGTCAACTTATTTAGTTGTTGGTAGTCCACACACAATCTGGTAATACCATCCTTCTTCTTGATTAACAAACTCGGTGCATTTCACCGAGACACACTAGGTCTGATCATTTATTTCTTCAAGAGCTCTTCCACTTGTGTATTCAACTTAGCCAACATCGTTGGAGCCATTGATATTGGCCTTGCACTTAAAACTAGATCAATGCAAAACTCCACCTCCCTATTATGAGGTAATCCCGAAACTTCATTAGGAAATACCTTCGAAAAATCCCTCACTACATCCACTACTTCCACCAATTGCTCACTTTTTATGCTCATAGAGGATAAGATCAAGAAACACTTAACTATTCCTTCATCCACACTTCAACTTGTTTAGCATAAATTAAATCATCTTTGCTTTCATTGATAAAAATTAACTCCTTCTTAGCACAATCACTTATAACCTGGTTAACAAACAACTAATTCATTCCCAAAATCACATTCAACCCTACTAAAGGAAAATAGATAAGGTTCACCTTATAACACCATCCAAACACCTCTACTAAGCAACCCAAACAACACTTATAAGAAATTACGAAAGTAGAAGTATGAGTAGGCACTAAATCAACATCTAATACCACTAGCTTCAACTTCTAACATAATGAATAGAGATAAAGTAGTGTGTAGCACCCAAATCAAATAAGATCAAGACATCCTTACTAGCCACTTTGCCCTTCTCTTCACTATATCTGATGAAGTGGAAGCCTCAACACCAGTCAATGTAAAAACTTGACTTACAGTGGTTGGTCGCTCCACCCTCAATACACTCCTAGTTTGATTAGCCATCTCCAAACAATCTTTGGTAATATGCCTAAAGTTGCTACATTGAAAACATTTTGAAGTAGTAGCTGTGTAATCTCTCACAATATGCGGTCCCCCACATCTATAGCACCTCACGCCCAGTGCTTCACCTTTAGGTGTATCAGTAGGCTTCCTTGTGATAAAAGCCCCTTACTGAGGCTGGAGCCTATTATAAGGCTTCCTTTGACCACTACACTTCTTGGACCTAGCTGGCCCCTCAACAGTTTTCCCAAATCTATTGGCTCCCTCAAGTCCCTTCACCATTTTTGCCTTCTCAACCATAGTTGGAAACTTTGTGATGGCCATAGGCACCATCACCCGCTTGAAGTCGTACTTCAACCCTTTAGCAAATTTCTACACTTATAAGCCTTAGAAATAACTTAGGTGTAGAAATGAGCTAGATGCTCAAATCTTATGGCATGCTCAAATACATATAAGCTTTCCTACTACAACCTCATGAACTCAACCTTATCTCACGCTCTCGGAAAAATGCTTCTCGAGGAATACCTTATTAAAGCATTCCCAATCAACTATCACTCTCCTAACAACCAACATCTACTAAGTACAACACATCTAATACTCTATCTCCCTTCCAATATATAAATTGCATAATTAAGCATCCTTTTAACTATACAACCTAGCACTACAAAAATCTTCTCCATCTCACAAATCTAGTGGTTAACCACCTCTGAATTTGCATCTCCCTTGAACTAAGGAGGATGACACTTATAAAACTCCACCAAGCCGTAACTCTCCTATGACCCTACTAGTCTTGCTACCTTAGTTGCAACTCTGTTCGCCTCCACTTGATCAAAATGGGCATTCTATTGTTGCATAGCCATGACCATCATCTCCATGACACGAGCTATTTGGTCATATTGGGGTCTCACCATTTTCTACAAGGATTAATAAATCCATTGAGTAACACCCAACAACAACAACACACACAACACAACACAACACATACAACCTAACAACTACACAACAAATCCACCCCCACAAAGTATCCATAATAGGCTCGATCAGCTTTTATACCATAAAAGTGTAATGACCTGGTTGATCATTACACCTACTACGATTCAACTACTACACAATGGAAGACTAAACAACAGACATCATAATTCGGATTTATCATACAACCAATAACTAGTATCATGTACATACATGCTATATACAAAATATAGTACTAAGTGCAAAATAAACCTAAGCGCTGGTCAACGTCTATACAAGACTTGATTACATCAGAGTAGCCATTAGCAAAACCTAGCCACCCCCATCGTGACTAACTGCTAATTGCACAAGTCATCTTATTAATCCTGTCTTGCTCCCATATCAAGTATGATCGTTGCAATTCCAATTACAATGAAAACTCAACATATAATCAAAATTTAACAAGTCGTAGCAATACTACATAATCAACACATAAACCATACCATCACATCAAAATATAACAACTCGCAACATGACAACTTAATCAATTTCAGCATGTTCAACACATCAACACATTTATTACATCTGATGCGTTGTTACACATTAAAACTATGGAGATTTCTTACAACACAGGGTGAGTAGTTTAAGTGCCTAGACCTTATCGAATCACAACGTGTGACCTATCTCAAGCAGGTCAGTTAAGAACTCAATTTGATTCCTCAGGTTTGTCACTTAAATTAGGAAGTATAGTACTAATGTCAAAGTATAACAGTTTGGGTGCGAGCCTATCACAACATTAGCTTGCATCATTAAGTCACTTATGGGATAAATCCATCGACTATCCTCTAAGTACTACATCCTTCCAATACTAGGTTAGAGACTAAGTCTCTAGCTTACTACATTATTCAGTTGGTCACTTTATACATATATCTCGACCTTGTCCACACTGGTATACCATATAAAACTTACCATTCAATAGTCAACCCACATATTGAAGGTTTTTCAACACTTGGGCTCTCAAAGCGTCATATCTCATATCTACACAATGGGATATTTAGTTTTCAAAGTCGTCACTTACTTTTCTTTTTCATGTATCTTAAATAGGACATGTATCTCGACCCCATGCTTAATAACTTAACAACGTAAAAAACTTTAAATAAATTAACACATGCAGTTTTACACCTTAATTATCTATCAACTCAACTTAACACATAGGTTTTCTATCATCCATCAGCATCTACATAACTTATTCAACATCAATCAACTATTTAAAACAACTTAAATAACAACTTTTTATCATACAACTCATGCCCAACGTCACTCACTGGACGCCTGACGCCATTAAGACAAAGAGCTCTTTGTCTCATCCACACCTAACGCAAAACCACCTGCACCCAACGTGATTGAGGCAAATAGTCTCCCATATTCTTGTGCCTAGCATGACAACACCATGCCTGATCCCATTTAGGAAGAGGGCTCTTTGTCTGATTCACGCCTAACACCACCTACATTAGCATCTAACATGAATCCAGGTAGAGATGAGACTCTCTCCTTATGCCCAATGTTGTTCAACCCACACTCGACATGAATCCAACCTGAGATGATTCTCTCTTTTTACATCTGGCACCATCAATCTTACGCCCGATGTGAATAAGACAAAGACCCCTATTTGGAGTCACAACCAACACCTTGAAGTGCGGTACCATATTTTGCACTTGTGCAAAACCCGATTTTGGCCATTCCACCTGAAATTCAGAATTCCAAACAACATGCACTACATAAAACATTTATACAACTCGTACAATACAATTTCATTATCAAAAATAACATGCAACTAAAATCAATCAAGAATCTACTCAATTTCTCATACTCCACTTTAAAGCTACAAAGCCCTCCCAACTTCATCATTTTCATCACCTAATTCTTCCTAACAACCAACAATTAACTCATTTAAGCATCATAACCCCACAAATCATACAAGAATTTGAAATAACTTTTTTTTTACCTCTTGTAGAATCAAAACCGACAAGAGGAGAAGAGGAAGAAGCAACTCCATACAAAACCTTGGCTTGAAATCCTCCGCCCTTCAAGCTTAGATTCTAGCCTCCTACTCGAATTTTAGTTGTAAGAGGTAAGAAAATGAAGGGTTTTTTTAGAAGGATTGGGAGAAGAAGAGGACTTGAGTTCACTTGCTTCTCCCTAAAGTTCTTGAAAGATATCGAATTATGAGTCTCCTTTTGAAAAACTTCCTTTTTATACCTTTCTTGAGCCAACTTTGCTTATCTCTAGTCTTCAGTTACCTAGAGATTCAACTTACTCTAAGGGTTTCTTGACTCCACAGCTCTTGACAACAACTATTAATTAAACAACAAAAGTTATAAAATCAACAATGTTACATAATTAAATTTTAATATTTTAAAAATAATTTTGGCAATTTTAAAAAAATTCTTTTAACCTATTATCTGATTCTATTTTTATCTATCATATTTATCTATGATTTTAAACTTTAAAATAAATTATCAATAATTAAAGATAATTTATGTCACAATATAAATTATTTATTATAAATCTAAAATATAATTTATGTATTTAAAAATATTAATTTCTACAAATTTTAAATATAAATTATATATTTAAATATGATATTTATTTGTATATATAATTTACCATAATAAACATTTTATCTGAACATTATTTACACATGTTAAAATATTAGTTAATAATTTATTTTAAAATAATTAAATTTAATTCATAAATTTACAATAAGTACAAATTAAAATAAATTAAAAAATTAAAAAATCTCTAAAAGCTTTTTCATTAAAAAAAAATCTCTCAAAGTTAAATTCCCAATGCCCATCTCATACGAGATAATATCTAATATATATATATATATTATAAATTTTAATCATATTAAAATAAGTATTTGTCTCGTACATTAGATAAACTCAGATATAAATTATAGTTACGTGAGTCTCATCTTTCATTTGTAAGTCTCATTTTCAAACTAATAAACTTCCAATGAATTTCAACGTATAAAAAAATAATTTGAAAATAGAATATTTAAAAACATATTGACATTGTTAGCACGTAAGAATAAAATCTTAACTAATAACCAAGATCCCTTAAAAGAAAAAAATTGATAACCAAGATATGATCATTTCTTAAGATATTTTTTTTTATTTAAAAATTCTGTATATTCCAAGTTTTGAAACCGTTGATGCAAACAGAAAGAACAGAATAGCCAAGGGGAAGCGGAGACTAGAAGCGAGTGTTCCCACTGCACATAGCGATTCCACTCGTTCTCGTTCTCGTTCCTCACATTCACAATCACAATCACAATCACAATCGCCATGCCTAGGGTTTCATCATCGACTCCTTCTATGGCTTCCACACTCAGAGCCTACGCGCTCCCTATTCTTCTCTTCGCCGGAGCCATGTTCTACCAGCTCTTCCTTATTCCCAACGCCTTCCCTCCTTCCCATTACGACGGTAATCCCTCTCTTTCATTTATTCGTTATTAAGAATCTGCTTTTTGTTTTATCCTCTTTGTTTCCGCGATTGCAGTTCTGCAAATTGAGAGCTATAGTTCGGTCGATAAAGTCAAGGAGGCATACGACGAGCTTGAATCTAAATGGTAATTCTGCCGTGAGCTAATTTGAACACGCAGTTAATTCATTTGTTGTGTGCATGGTTTGCATTTGCGTTGTGATTACTGAATTTGCCATTCTCAACCGCAATTTGAAACCCTGATTTATGTGCGAGGACTGTGGATTCCGGGAAATTGTGTTACTGTATGGGAAATGCGGAAAGGAGATTCTTGTTTACTGCCTCAATGATTTGGAACATCTATGTGAATGGTGCAACACGGGTTGATTGTAGCTAACATAGTGTTTGGTTGGGGAAAATGGAGGGGAGGGTTTTTATTGAACTTTTGTTGTTTGGTTCAATTTTTAAGAAGGGAGGGAGCAAAGCCCCTCCTCGTCCTATTTTTGTCAGCCCCAATATCGGGGGGATTTGAAAGGGAGGTGATTTAAAACATTTTGAGTGTTAAAATATGTTTTGAAATTCAAAATTAGATGGGTACAAAGATAAATTAGTTTTTAAAATCCATCTCTTCACCTTGTGAACTAAATAAAAAACGAGCTCTTCTTCCCTCCTTTGTACCAATCAGCCCTTTAATGTTTTGTTTCCGTTTGGGCTGTTGGAGATGAGTAGTGTCTAGGCTACTGCTCAGTGCTCACTCTACTTAGCTTGGTTGTTTTATATTTTACATTTTTCTTTGAAGTCTGTGTGTTTATTTTTTCTTTTTCTTTTTTCAGGTCACCTTAGATGGGTGGGATTTGATCTATTTTAAGTGTCAGAATACACACACACATGCACATATGTGTGTGTGTATGAAATTGGAGTCTATATACTATGTAAAGGGAGTTTAATTACTATAACAGGAGTCTCTATACAACTTTCTCTCTGTATTGGTGGGTTGCTGGCACACTTGTGCTTCAATTCAATGTCATTTTTGCTTGTAAAAAAGAAAAAAAAAGCTTAAGATTCTTTTGGCAGAATAATTCAAATAAAGAAAAGTGATTTTTGTTTATGATGTAGTTTTTTTAACAAGTTTTCCAATATCACTTTTTTCTGAATGTACTAAAACTGTTTGGGGTGTTCCTTGTGACATTTTATCAGCATGCTATTAATAATATCATGACATTAGTTACGTTGTCTTTCAGGAATTCAGCTGTGGAAGTTCTTGATATTCATGAGTTCTTAAAGGTTGGTTGAGAGGTCATTTATCAACTATATTGTCTATCAGCCAAATAATTGTTTGATGCACAGAATCCTCCTAAGAACAAAGATCATTGATCTAAAATTTATGTTTAGATTATTTCTGTATAATTGTTACAGAAATCTTGAAAGACAAACAACTATGTAGTGACCTGAAGTGGGGATCTATAAATAATGTCTCAAACACCATGATCATTATCATTCTGCTCGATTTATACTTTGTACAAATCTAGTTTAAGTTTATTGTGTTGGTGTAATGATTCAATCTATTTTCTGAGGACCAGTTTGATTCTCATTCAATAAATTATACTTTAATGCTAACAAACTAGAGACTGTTTAATTCATTTGAATGAATCCCATCATCATGGTTTTAGGCCACAAATCTGCTTAATCAGAGATCAACAACTACTGCCTTGAAATTGTGAATTGCACCTTCCTTAATTGGTTTTTGCTAAAACTATTGGTAATGATGCGAAGAAACTCGAGAAATGAGAGCTTTGTTTGTTAATGTATGAGAGTTTCAAATGTATGGTTGAAGTAAGGTCTTTTGTAGTGAAGGTAGCCTAGTGTGAATCGATCTATACTATGTAGGCAAAACCAGGGTATTTTCAGTGAGTAAGATGAAACCATTGTGATTAAATTCGATCTGCATGTCAAATTTGGTGGCCCTTGTTAGTATTGGTTTGTGTGGAGAGTTCCTTGGAAAGCAAATGATATTCAGGCCAATAAAGTGTCGGAATTAGATATTTAATGTAACTAGTACTCTAGTAGTAGTTGAAGGTGAAACACCATTCAGTTCAACCCCTTGCATGCAGGTGGGAACCCTGGCATGCAATGTAACTCTTCTGAATAGATATGCTGAAACTGTTTTCTATTGAAAAATGTTGAAATGAGACAGATTGGGGCTAGTAATAGCTTGAATAAGATGACTATGGAGTATGGACACATGTTGTGCACGTGCACACACACATTTCATGATACAATTTACAAGGATAAGTGATTGGTGCTATTTCCTAGGCATTGATTCCTACAAACACTAAATGGATTTAGCACGTGATACATGAACTGTGTGTGGTTATTCTATAAAAAACCTGGCAGGTTGAAAGCTGGGATTCAATGTAACTATTATGAAATTTATATGCTGAAACTGTTTTGGATATTATAACTCCCAAACATGTTATGAAGGGGTGGGATTGTTTTCATGGAATTGGGCTGTAGTATACTGATTTATAAAGAAATTTATATGCTGAAACTGTTTTGGATATTATAACTCAAACATGCTATGAAGGGGTGGTTACCATATTCCCTGGTATATAATATGGTTTGATGTATTACACGTGTTCTTTATTTGATGGCTGTCCATTGTGGCACAAGTATTGTGGATTTACTATGGTTTTGTTTATGTAATTTGTTTTGAGTGCATGATTTACAGATTCGATATGCTTATGAGTTGCTGACAAATCCTTTATGGAAAAGAGACTATGACATATTTGGTATTGATGAACAACTTGTGAGTACTTTCTTTTGCATTCTTTAATCCTTGTGTCCGTTTGTAAGATCTGTTCCCTAAATGTTTGTCTCACATCCCTGATTACTATCATCCCCAAATGATTTTATTAAATGATATAATTTTGTGATGGTAGCATGTTGTTGAGAGTGCCAGCAAGCGTTATGCAGGAAAACGTGTTTCAGAATTGGACTTCCCTTTACTACAGGCCCCTTCTGGTTAGTCAAAACGTTCATCCCAGGCAATTGGAATTATTTGATGTTTTTCAATAGATTTGTGAGTCTGTGACTCATTGACACATGCATAATTTTTTTAACCTCTCAGGATCTATAGATCATCCTTCTAAAGTCATTACTGCTAGTGACTTCCAGTATATATTTCCAGATGCAAAGCCATGGCTAATTCAGGTACACATTGTTTAATATCTTGCAATCACAGTTTGTTTCTTATTTTACCTTTTCCATGAGATCAAGTTCCCTCCAAATGCAGTAGCCTGTCATGGATCTTCTATCACTAGCATCTCCTGCCCAATTTGCATCTATATCTAATGATGTTAGCATGACCCTTACCCATATAAACAATCCTGCTTTTGCCAAATTATCCTTTAATGTATCTCAGGATTCAAACAATTGCAATCCAATGACTACCACTTGGTAAGTTGAGAAATTGATTGACAACAGTAATAGGAAAGACAATGTCTGGTCTAGTCATTGTGAGATAATTTAATTCCCCAACTAATTTTTTATATTTTCCTAGGTAAGGATAGGGTTGCCCCTGATTTGGTAGAAGCTTCACATTCGGGTTCATAGGAGTATCGACAGGCTTAAAATCAAGCATCCCAGTTTTTTCCAAAACATCAAGTGCATATTTTCTTTGAGAAATATTAGTATCTTTTATTGATTGAGCTACTTCAATTCAATGGAAGTATTGCAATCATCCAAGATTTTTGGTCTAAAATTGTCTAAAGAAATATTGCCTCAACTCCTTAATGCTGTCTTGATCATTGTTGAAATTGTATAGTTTTAGATATTGAGGGAGAACAAAAAACACTAGAAAATGAAACATTTAGTTGATGTTAACTGGGATGTATGACAATATATGGATATTGATATTGACAATAACCTTGGGAGAACTACTCCACAAAAGCTAGCCATTGTAGTTTGGAGAGCCCAAGGCCTTATAAACCCCACACTAAAATCTCATACTAAAGCATGTATGTTTAATAAACCTACTGTACTGACTATTTTTGCTTGATTCTATTATCTTTATACATTTTATGCTTTAAAAGTATTAACTTGAAGTACATGCTGAATGTATTTGTATCAGTTGTATTCATCAGGGAGCGAACGTTGTGCTCAATTTTCCGAGTCATGGAATAAGATTGGTATTTGAACTGAACTCCTGACATAAAAAAATTTCTTTATGCACATGATATGTAACTGTGGAATATAGAGATAATGTTATCCTTTTATGGTTAATAATAGAATTTAATTTTCTTGAGTTAATCTTTAGGTTTTAAAATGGTATTTCTAGAAAAGGGAGAGAATTCCCTTCTCACCAAGTAGATGAAAGCTAATAAGAGAAATTTGAAAGCTTGTTTTATGATAAGGGGTAGTTTTGGGTGTAATCAATGCTTCTTCTCCTCCCTCCTTATCTCTGTTTCTGTCTCTCTCTTTCTCTTGGAAGTTTTCTGTGGACAAAAGAAAAGGCTAGGTACTAGTTTTTTTGGGCAGTATTTCCTTTCTTGTACAGAATTAAATTTTTGGAGCTGTTCTATATATTTTGCATGGACTCAAGCTAATTGATATCCAAGCAGAGTGTTATATTGGTCACTAGTTTAAGGATAAGATTATTCTTATTAATTCTTCTGTTTTTAGCTTCTTTGTTGGATCCGGTTGCAAACATTGGTATGGTGGAGCTTGGTGAGAAGGAGCATGCCATATTCCTTGCTGATAGAAGATCAACAGGCAAGCCATTTTTTAGAAATGGTATGTGCTGAATACAAACAAATTTTTATTTGTCTTTTTGTTTTTATTCATCTTACAGGATCTCTGTCAAAAACTCTTCCCAGGTTTAAATAGTTTCTTTTTTACCCTCCTGTTATATTTTTTAACAATGGTCCAACAAGGAACATTCTTTGCAAAACTTACAATTATACTTTGTAAATTCATTGTAAAGATTGTGTGTTTTACCCAAATCAGACTAGTTTCAGGTATGCTGTTAATTCTGAGTATGTTTTTTGTCTATACATACCTGTGTTCGGGACTCCTGAGCTTTTCCTTATAGCAGATATGTTGAATATATCTAGGTATACTTGTATAAAACTGATTTGTTATTGATTGTTTCCTTCTATGCTACAAATTGAGTGTTTCATTTGCTGCTGAGAATATTTTCAATAGAGGAATTGGGAATTTGATAGAGGGGAAAATCAAATTTTCGATTTGTTAAAGATTTGAATTTACCTGATTGACCTTCTATTTGAGCAAAAATTTGTTAGAATGTAGGGGTGGTGAGAAGTTAAATCATTTTCAATTTTCCGTTACACCCACCAGCAGAGCTCAATAAGTGTGTGTGTGTGTGTGTGTGTGTGTGTTAGTGAGTGTTACTTATAACTGAAATTCAATATCCGAAAAGGGGTAAAAGTTTTATAAAATTTCCAGTAATTCTACTTGACTTACAATTACAAATGGCTGTTTTGTGTCATAAATGGTAGATGAATGTTTCAGATTTTAGGTGATAAGGATCACATGTGCCTTGTCTTGACCTATTGAAAATATTAATTCAGGAATTCCATCTCTTGTTGCCATTCCTGCTGGATGTCGAGCTACTAAATGTATTAATAGGTGAGTTTTATTATAAAACCAAGGGTTGATTTGAGAATAGATAATTCAAATTTTGTAAATCCTTTTTTACTTTATTAACAGAGGGTAATTCACATTTAGATTAAATTAGGTTATACAAATTATTATGTCATGTGTTTAGTGAGTCTACTTGCATAAGTCATATTCTTCTGCATGGCTTAAAAAAATAAAAATCTACTGCATGGAATTACTATACATTATTTTCCGTGTTAGGTTTGTTGGTGAGCTTACTGTTGACAAAAAAAAAAAATCTACTGCATGGAATTACTATACATTATTTTCCGTGTTAGGTTTGTTGGTGAGCTTACTGTTGACAAGGTTACAAATTGGTTTGCAACAACTGTATTGGCTTTACCTCAAATTAACTACTACTCAAAGGAAACACTGGTAATTTGTTTAAACTTTAAAGGATCATTCTCTTTTTCTGTAAATATGCGTGGTATTTTTTCTTTTTCTCTGGAGCAATTTTTTTGTAATATAAAGAAATTCCTTGAATAATGAACATCTGTAATGATCATGGATGAGGGGTTAATGTAGTACAATATTGGGTATGAACAAGCTTGATTATGTTCCTTGTCTTCCCTTGAGGTTTCCCTCCTTTTTGACTATTTAATTTGGTCAGTTTCAGTATATTTTTTCCTTGAATCTCTACAGAACTAACAGATTGTTTTGGTTTATAATACACCCTTTGCTAAAATTGCTAGGCTCTCAATTGTATAAGAGGCTGTTTTTGTATGTTGGAGTAAGCTATCACTTTTATATAAAGATAGCTTCTCTCTGCAGCATTTTGATTATAAGCTTTTCTAAACACAAAATAAGATAATCCAAATCAAACGCACTTATGTTAGGATTTGAACGGTATCAAGGAAATTCAACTTTCTTTTTGGAAACATTTTAAAAATTAAATTCAATGGGCCTTTTCTATTTGTAGCTAATAGCTTGTTTTCCAAAAGTTCTCTTCAGGAGATTTTGATTATAATTTATAGGTTTTTTAAACATAAAATAAGCTAATTTAAATGCACATTTTCTGTTAAGCTTAAATCATATATCCATTGCCAATTCTGATTGTAAAACATAATCTTTCGATTGGGTTTCTCTTTCCTTCATTGTAAAAATGGATATACAAGTTATATGATTGGAAAGATAAGGGAGAATTTTCACTGGTTGAGCTCTAGTTTTGTATTTCATTTGAGATTAGAATAGTTCACTTATCTTCTTTGTGGAGTCATGCCAAAGGTCTATTAAGGGGATTACTTAAGCAGATATTCAGAGATTGGCATGTCGTCCTACATGCCTCATGCTCAACAAAGTTCTTTTCTCATTTTGCTGTACTTCATGATGGTTCTTATTGAGTCCAAGTAGGAAATTGTAAATCCCGTCTTTCTCCACTTTTTTATTTTGTTTTGCTAGCTGTCTCTAGGATACTTCATTCGGTGTCTTAATAAATGTCAAGCTGCTGCCAATGTCAGGTACTGGTGTTGAAAATTGAAATATTCAACAACTATGGACTCACCTTACTGGAGATCATGAAGTAAAAACTCTTGATTTCAAAGATTGCAAAGGTGTTGTCTATGTTTGAATATGGCTCCTTTGCTGCATCCCGTATCACTTTAGCAGTACCGTTGTACATAAATTTTTCTCCAATTTCATTAGCATGGTGTTCAAAAGCCATGACATAACCATGGTTGTCAATCTCTAATGATAACTCGTAAACTCATACGAGTTTGAGATTAGGACAACTTGTATAACTCGGAAGTAAACTTGTTTTTGAGTAATCTCGGTGATCTCGCGTGATCTCGTGTGATCTCGTGAGACCAGTCCAATTTTAAGAGATCACGATTTTTATTTTTATTTCTCAAAATAAACTAAACAACCTGTTTTGGTTAGGGTTGAGAAGAGAGTTTCATTTCACTCTCCCCGCGTTACGAAACCCTTCGATCTCCTCTATCTTCTCCGCGGTGAAGGCAAACCAGTGAACCACTCTTCTCCTTTGTGCGTTCTCCTCCTCTGTCTTCTTTATGGTGAAGGCGCGAACTAGTGAACCACTCTTCTCCTCCGTGCGTTCTCCTCCTCTATGTTCTCCTCCGCGAAGGCGACCACTTTTCTCCTCCTCTGTCTTCTCCGTGAAGGCGCGAATCACTCTTCTCCTCCGTGCGTGATTGTCTGCCTTCTCCTCCGTGAGTCGCGCGGCTTCTCGAGTTAAAATGCTATTATTATGTTATTTTATTCTTTAAATGGAGTTAAAATATTCAATTATTATGTTATTTCTAATTATTTTTATTGAGTAATCTCTTACGAGTTTACAGAGCCTCCACGAGATTACGTAAACTCTCGAGATTGACAACCTTGGACATAACTAAGCTGTTCTCAAGCTTCCATTTTTGAGTTTGGGGTCATCTTTCTTAGATTGCTTGTTTCCCCAGTGATATATTCTTCCTTTTCCTTTCCTTGGAGATAGATCGAAACTGATCTTGCCCATTGGATCTAGTTTTGCCCATTTAGTTTGTGGCCTGTGATAGGCAGGGTGGGTCCTTCAATTGTGTTGTTTATGGATGGAATACTAGTTGCTAGTCTGAATGCTCCTGACTTGTCACCCTCCTTGGCAGAAAAAATTCATTCAAATGAACACCTTTCTTTTTAAATGCCTTCTTCAAATCTTATCTAGTCAGTCTAGCATACTCTCTTTTCCAGCTTGATGAAAACCTTGTGTAGATCTTTTCATTTCCTTTTACATTTCTCCATCAACCTTGCAAAAGATATATTGTTGATTTATTTCCATGGTTGACCTCCTAGTAATAAAACCAAATTGGTTCTCTACGGAATGAATCTTGTCTTGATCTTTGATCAACTACTCTCTCCCATATGCTCATAGTGTGGCTATGATGAGCTTTACCATTTTGTAGTTGGTATAGTTCTGTATGTCTTCTTCATTCCTATAAATAGAGATTAAAGTGTTTCTCCTTCATTCATCTAGCCTTTCTTAAACCTCTACCAAATTATCCAGCATTAACCATTAAACAATCACATCTTTGTGCATGTAAAAAAGATTCAACAATGTTTTATGTTAGAATTTGAGTGCCTAACATAACCTTCACTTTTATCCCGGCTCAAGATCAGCTATTTAAAGCTTCACAACAATGCACAACATGGGTGTAGTTTAAGAAGTGACAACTAATTACCTAAAAAGAAAGTGAATAAGTGATAACCAAATTCTCGTTAATTGTATTTGGATTTATTTTTAAGCTTATAGAAATATAGCTATATCATCGAATATTGACCAATATTTTTCGTTATTCTTAGATATCTGTTTTAGCAAAATGAAAATAGTTTTGTTTTGGTATAAGGGCAACAGAACAAAGGTTGTACAAGTTCATGTCATATCCAATGAATTGGACAACTTACTTTTATTTGGCTATCTTACTTTTGTTGTTGTTCAATGTTATTTACTGATTTGCTTTTGACATTTAAATTGTTTATTGTGTGAGTTTCTATGGTTACTAAGGGTATATGGAACACTACTTCCAAAATTTCAGGTGCCAAATTTTCTCGGTAAAACTAGCCATCATAAGGTACAATTTCCTTGCTCTTCTATTATACTTCCCATGTACAAATTAACTTTTGCATTTTCCTTATACATTTTTGTTGACTAAAGTTTCCATATGATATAAGAATATTATCACACAAGTTTAGGCATCAAATATACCATACCAAACATTGCAATCCTACATTTTGAGCAATTTTATATGCTAATATTTATAGGCTAGGTGCTTTAGATACCTGATCTGTGTACTGAATGCCTTCTTAAGGGTTTATCTCCATCTCTTTAGCTAGAGGCAATTAGTTGGGTCCATAAGCACTTATAGGAGAAATTGAGGTAAAATAAATTGAACATCTCCCATAAGTTAAAATCAACCTCGTACTTAAATTTTATGTAAATTCTCTCGTCTAACTTCTCCAAAAACTGAGGTGCATTATTTGATTTTAATTTATGGGAGAAGTTCAATTTGTTTTACCTTATTTTATTCTCATAAATATTTATGAAGTTTATTCAAATAGGGTCTTGGTCTCTGTCATGATTATATCTCATGTTCCTATAATTTGCTGCTCATTTGGTAACTTTTTGACGAATTTTTATTATAATATTTTCTGAAATGCTCAACTATTATCTTACTGCATGTTTGGTTCAACCTATTTTGGAGAAACAGTATCTAATTTTTGTCATCTTTATGAGAGACCTGCTGGAACAAAAAAAAATTATTTCCCGGAAATAACATATTCCCAAACACCCACTTAATCTTGTTAAGATGCCCTTTGATTGAGTAGATCTATACCTGAACTTGTCTGTTTTAATTAAGATTTGTTTTTTTGTGCATCATGACTTGTAGGTAAAAGTAATATTTTTCTCAAAATATGGGGAGCGTGCTGCTCCATTTGTACGACAAGCAGCTAAAGACTATTGGGCTTATGCTTCATTTGCATTCATTCTCTGGCGGGAAGAGGAATCTTCCTATTGGTGGGGAGCGTAAGTGACAATTTTCACTAAATCTGAATCGGGAAAACATTATTCTGTTACTTTTTTTTTATATACAGAAGATGGTGTTATGTATATTGTTATATTCACCAACTTATTGATTCATTACTTCATCTGGTATTAAGTGTTGAATCAATTTTGTTTTATCTGTTTTTAAATGTCAGATTTGGGGTGGAATCTGCACCTGCTATTGTATTTCTTAAAGACCCAGGTGTCAAACCTGTTGTTCACCATGGTCCGTTTCATCTTTGTCATACTACATGTGAATCATTTGAATCTACTTTTTCTCTTTCAATGAACTGACTATCTGTGCATTGTGTGCTGCAGGTTCAGTTAACAATTCATTTTTTTTTAACATGATGGAAAATAATAAACAGCAAGGTAGATGCAAAATTTTTTAGATTCCCATGTTTGATGCCCTAATTTTTTATAATGAACATTTGATACTAAATATTTCAAAGGTGGGTTGGGACTTGGAAGGCAATGTAGCCAGCAAATTTTTAAGTGGTATGGGGTGGAGAAGTTGCCTATATGGGTGTAGTGCACTAACTTCAATTGATCTCACAGTTGAATCTTATCCCAAAATTGATGGAATTAGCTTCTAATTTAATTGGAATAAATCAATAAACTAAAGATTTTGGGGGAACAAATATGATACTCCACTTCTGTATGAAAAATACATTCTAAAACTTTAGGTTAAAAGGAAACTTTAGTATGTAGTTCATCAGAAAAAGTAATGAAAAAAAAAAACTGGGAGGACTGTAATTATGTAGCCATTGACTTGACTATTTTTTGGATTTTATCCTTAGCACATGTTGCTTGGACCACAATATTAACCTGAAACTGTTAGTCTGTTTATACATACTATGTGTCTTTGGGACATGTTCTTATCAACTTCTTGTGAGTAGGAACCACTAAGTGATTACTGACTATTTATATCCACTTATATCAACGCAGTCCCTTGAATGTATTAGCCAATTCTTTTGATCTTACAATAGATGCATGATAATATACTATCATCATTTGAGTTTTTATGTGGTATTTCATGGTATATATAAATTACTTTCTCCATCTGATAGACACGTTATTCTATTCAAGGCATTGTTAATTTTTGTTTATAGAATGGTAAACTTTCTAAGCCCTAATTAATCTGCTTCATCTTCCTTTGTCCACCCTTTTGGTTTCCAGAGCTTCTGCAACTAAGGAGTGTGACATCAATGGAGCTAGGCTGTGATCCTCAAGGCTATTCTCGTGCTGGTTATGATACAGTTATATGGTATTGTGCTGTCGCAGTAGGAAGGCCAAGTCTGGAGTTGAACAAAATGCGTGAAGTATGTATTTTAGTGTTGTTTTGGGCATAGTTTCTAACTTTCTATGATATGTTCCACAAAGTAGGTGCTAATTCATGATTTACTTCGAGAATTATGCTTATTTAATTTCCTTACAAAAGTCTAATCTCTGTTATCATTGTTGGCATATTTGGGTTTTAACAGGTTCCTAGTAAAGTAGATGTGGGGCTCCATACTAGTTTTCTAGATACATGCATAATCTTATGAAATTGGCAATTTTCTACCATTTTTTTTTTTCAATTTTCATAGCTTCATCAAATCTGGCAGATTTTTAATTCAGTTCCATAGACTATGTGCAGGGTCCAAGAAACATTGTCTAAGCATAGCCAGGAGGATACATTGTCTGAAAATCAATCCTTTGCTCCAGCTGTGGATGCATTTAAGAGAAGCCGGTTGACATTTGCTTGGCTTGATGGTGAAAAACAGAAGGTAATCTTTTTTCTTTCATGTATTATTTATATTTTAGCTTGTTATTCTAAATATATTAGTATTCATAAAAAATTTTAAGAATGCTAATTTCATTTGACAATGACCTATAGGCATCAAAATACTTGAATATTGAAACAGATTGGCAGAAAAAGACCAGTCTCACTGATCTGTGTATTTTCCTTATATAAGGAGTGATAATGATTAGGATTACAAGAAAAGAAAAAAAAGGCTGAAGAGTCTAGAAGCCTAAGCAATCACATCAAGAGAAAGTACAATCAGAAAAGTACAGTAAAATATTTAAAAATGAAGAGGCTTTCTAAACAAGCTATTCTAGCAAAAATCAAAGCAAAAATTGTTCTAAATTGCTGCCCTGATGGTGTTTAATACTTTAATCTGCCAGACAATGGCTGTATAACGCATCGATTTGAACTTGTGACATGACCTAATTTTACTACTAAATCATTAGAATGTGTTTCATGCTTATTCATGAACATGCTATCACAATACAATGCCCAACGTTGCATATTCATCTTTTAACTGGAGGAACTTGTCTTTTTAGGAATGATATACTTGTTAAGTATAAAAGTATTATTTTTGTGCAATTATATGTGTACAAAGATGGCTTGTTCATTAGCCTACTGGCTTGTGGTATTCGTATGACGCTTTTTACAGGAAATTATGGACACAGGCATTAGAAAAGGCAGGGTTCTCATACTCATTGCAGAGAGTATAAAAGCGATCTCACATTACAATTCAACTGCACATTTCCTTTCATTACTCCTCAAGTGTTTTTGTGACAGTTAAAATACTGTTTCTTTGGCTCATAATCCAGTGCTTCATGCCATGAAAAAACTCTTGGAACTTGATTTCTTTGTTGTTCATGAAAAAGGTGTTGAATAAGCAAATCCAGGTCTTGCATGTTCCCAGTCATGATCAGTTGGTTGATGACAAAACCCATCTCGCCTACCTGATTTCTCTACTTAAGAGACAAGCTCAATGTGTCTGAGCTCTTTTCAGACTCATCCACCTGGAGCTTTTTATTCTTGGGATAGGGGGGTTGAGAAAAACTATTTTCTTGCAAGCCTTAACTGTATTTCTGTTATAAATCAGTTATCGGCTGTAGCTGTTAGTGGGCTAGCTGGCGTAGTCAGATGGTCAATATTAAGTTACTTAGTAGTCACAACATGACTACTTAAAGAGTCACATTTTAGAGGAAACAAGTTTTGATGGTTGCTAAGTCTATTGACAGTCATGGATTCTAATGTCAAAGATTTTCCAAGTAAGGGGAGTCACTTTCAGACCCAAACTAGTACTAAAGATTGATTAGCGAACTAAGTTATTCACTACTCCCTTTGGGATGCAATAATTTTTATTTTGAAATATATTAAAGTAGCTCGATGAAAAAGTCTTATAGATGAAGGTCATAATTAAGTTGTGGGATATTCAGATGTTGATTGGGCAAACTCCCCTATTGATAGGAGATCCACTTTCAAATGTTACGAATTCATTGGTTGGTAAAGAAATCAGAGAAAGAAAGAAAAATGTCATGTGAATTTTATTAAACTGTCAGGATGAAAATTGATAACACAATACAGATCTGTTGAATACAGCTATTTATGCAATGAAATAGGTTCCACTACAAGCTGGAGATAGCTTCTATTACAAGCTAAAGATCTAAGGTTAACAGCCCCCAACTGTCAACAGAAAGGCAGCTGGCTTACTAACTTTCACAAGGTGGTGTTAGGAAAAATTTAAGTCCCGCCTATCCCATATCACTAAAAAGGGTTACCCATCATTAATCTATGCACCAAGTCAACAAGCCAATAGTACTAAGCATGAGGGAGTGTATAGGAAAAAATTCAAATCCTACATCGACTAGAGATAAGGTAAACTGATATGAACCTTGTAGAGATTCCCATCATAAACAAAGAGTATATAAGTAGGGTCAACCTCAACACACTCTTTTTAATGATCTAGGATAGGCGGTACTTGTATTTTTCTCAATACACAATCTCATGCCCAACATTATTGGGCTTGGTGTGTGTATAAATGGTGGGTAACCCTTTTAGCAGATCTAGGATAGCTCTGATATCACCTTAGAAAATGAATTTGATCCTAATTAACTATACAAAACCCTTTTTAATGATCTACAATAGGTGGCACTTGTGTTTTTTCCAATAAACCCCTTCATGTGCAACATTATTGAGCTTGACACATGTATAAATTATGGATGACCCTTTTAGGGAATTTAAGATAACTCTGATATCATCTTACAAAATGGATTTGGTCTTAAATCAACTTTACAAAATTGGTTTATAAGATAATGATTTCCTTCCGCTTATATACTCTTTGTTTGTCTTATCTCTGGTCGATATGAAACTTGAGTTTTTCTCGATACTGAGTCAACAATTGACTTAGCTCAATTAACAATCTGATGTATACTATCACTTGGAAAAGTAAGAAACAAAATGATGACGCAAGGTTGAGTGCAGAAAGCAGAATATCAAGTCATGGATGCAGCTACCTGTTGTGAACTCACCTGGTTCAAATAGTTGCTTTAAGTACTTAGGATTGGGAGGTTATGCAAGTGAGATGCATTTGTAACAATGAAGTTGTCCTTGAGAGAACCTCGGATATGCATTTGCCACTAGCTTTACTAGTTTAAATGATCAATTCGTGGATGTTTTCACCAAGTCATAGAGAGAATCTCAGATAAGCTACATATGTAACAACATTGATGCATGTGATTTATAAGCTCCAATTTAAGAGTGTTAGACAAAATGATTATGGATTGATTAATAAATTATATGCTGTATATGGTTATCTAATTATGATATAATAAATGCTTCTATTTATTACTCAGTTGATATAATAATCTCCATTGTGCATTTCAAACGCACAATCTCTACCATATGTTTCTAGTTTCTCTCCTCTACATTCAACTTGTGATATTAGTTGCAAGTGGAAGGCCCAAGGGCTGGGACCTGTTTGGTTTGAGAAAACATTTTTGTTTACATAAATAATTTAAAAAATGGAACCTTATTTTCAAATATTTGTATAGGAAGTAGTGCACGTAGGATTTTTGTTTTTACTGTTTCATATACAAATATTTGGGAATGAGAAACAAAATGAACATTTTTTTTTGTAATTATCTCTAATGACTGGAATGAAGACAAAATATTTGTTTAGACAATACCTGCCGCTAATTCCTATAACCTCCTCTAATGTTTGAGTGAGGTGTTGTATTAAATTCTGTGCCTTTTGAATGAAAAATATTTTTGCATAATCTTAGAACTAGAGGAGGGGGAGATCACACTTTAGCACCCTTGCCTCTGTGGAAACATTTTCGAAGTTAGGAGGAGTAACTTATTTTGCTCATGAATGTAGAATAAATTTAATTATTGAGGTTGTCTCTCAACCCCATAAGTTCTATAATTGTATGTGTTTAGAGGGTTTTGAGTACCCTAAAAGTGTGATGGATTGTATAGTTATCCATTAACTAGCTTTGTGGATAACTAGATTATATCTAGTCTTGTCCCTAGTATGTTTTTGTGATGGGATGGATTGTATGAATAGACTTTAACTTATATTACCCTAATTTGGTACTTTAGCTTTCATGAGGTTGACAAATGGAATTAATTTTAATTATGTGATAATTGTTTCACCAATTGAGTTCTTTATATTTAAAGGAAATAAGTAATTTGTACTTTATTTAGTTAGATTTAAGATTCGCGATATGCAACTTACAAATTTGCTTTCGCATTGTTTGGGCATGTAGGGGTAAGAGCACGAGGGCTAATAGAAGCATATACATGTACGTGGTGACCACAATCGTGCTCATTTTAAGTTGGGTCATGTTGAGTGAACCACAATCTTGCTAGCCTAG